TATGTGTGAAAACGCCCTTAATGTCGGGGGGGGGTCGGTGGGAGGATACAACAGCAGATCTTTCCCACAGAGGATCCTGTCTCTCATTCTGAGATATTACATTTAGTATGAAGTATAAAGAAATGAAAGCATCATGTGTCAAACACACACTGAAGTTGTGACAACTTCCTGTTTCATGGTGACATGTGACACAACATGAACTTCTTTAGTGAAAATTAAATTCAAAATGGCCGACTTCCTGTTGGGTTTAGGATGTGGCCCTGAGAGGATTTTTTCTACGTCTGGTCCTGATACACGTGCTTACTGACTTTCATACTGGCAGTGAAATAAGACACCGGGAGTGCTTAGTTAAACTTTTCTAGGGGGTGCTAGGGAGCCATTTTGCTACACCCTTAAGTCCCAAATCAGATGTAAAATGTTTAATGTCAAAAGTTTGATTCATTTTGTTTCATAATAACAAAAAATAATAAACTGAGCAGTTTGAATAGTCGCTGCTCGGGTCCTAATAAAGAAATCAATAATGTGAGGTGATTGGATGATGAATGTGAGTGATCAGGATCAATAGCTGTGGATGAGGCTCAGTCTGGTCTCCTTTCAGCTCACCCTCTGCAGGTGGAGGTGAGTCCTCTGGTCTCAGCAGCAGAGCGGGGTTCAGATCTGGTTCTGACCTGCACAGCGTCCGGATGTGTCCACCCTCCCACCCTCACCTGGAGGAGGACGGACCAGAACCAGACCGTCCTCCAGAGGACACAGCAGCAGGGCGGACTGTCCCTGCTCCACCTGCAGGACCTGGACCTCCAGAATCAAGGAGGATACAGCTGTGAGGCCGAGTGTGACTCCGTCATCAGGACCGGAAACACCCAGATCCACATCCTCTGTGAGTCTGACACACCTGAGACACCTGAGACCAGGTCTTTATGACATCATTAACCTTCATACAGAGGCTAAGAGAGGAGAACACAGTGCATTATGTATTCATAGGTATGTTTGAGGTAGGTTAGGATGACATTAATCAATATTAATCAATCACATCGTGCTGTAACATTATCCTCTGTAACGCTGTCAGCTACGTTCTGTGGTTCCCATCACAAAGTGAATCCAGCTCCAATAAAACCTCTAAAGGCCTCATGGATCAGGTTATCAATAACCATCAATCGCTCTCTTCGGCTGATAACATCAACACACTCTTCATTTTCCCGTTCTCGTGCTCTTCCTAATAATGAACGATGTGTTTACAGTGTTTAAACTGAGATCAATCTTTTAGACTCGTCTACATTTCAGTTTGTGTTCAATGGACGGTGCGATCGGTCCCCAGGAACGTCTCTGTTCAACTCGTGTGTTTGCACAAGAATCCAGATGTGAATCATCATGATTAAATCTGATCCTGAGACATTCCTGCAGGTTTCAGTGGGGGTTCAGAGCCAGTCTGAGTCCTGGTCTTTGGTCGGAGCTGCTGTGTGGTTGCACAGATTTACTGCTGTTGAGGTCAAAGGTCAGAGAGCTCCACTCTATTATTGTAGTGTTGTTGCACTTCCTCACACAGATCTGTCTTTCATCTGAATAGAGGAGGACAAACTCCAACGCTCTCACTGACAGGAAGTGACACAACAGGGGAGAAAGAAGCCAAATAACTCCCCCCCCCACGCTGTGAAGTCCTCCCCCACAGAGACAGAAACAAACACTCAGGTTTATCTTCCTCTGTCAGGAGTTTATGTACTCACACATCAGCAACATGAACTCCTTCGAGACTTTATCAAGCCATTGCAGATGGACGCAATGGTCTTAAATTTGCAGTCTGACTGTACCTCCTCCTCGCTCTGTACTGCAGGAGTTTCAGAGACCTCCTCCTAGGGACCTCCTCCTCGCTCCATCTCGCAGGAGTCTCAGAGACCTCCTCCCAGAGACCTCCTCCTCCCTCCATCCTGCAGGAGTCTCAGGGTCTGTTCAGGATCACTGAGGCCTAAAATTCCTGGTTTCAAAGCAGCTTTTTCTATAAAAACTGAGCTGCATGTTCAAGGTTAAATTTTACAGTGTTTGCACCCGCAGGCAGATTTGGTTCGCAGTAAAAGACTTTTCTTTTGACAAAAATATAAAGACAACAAACACAATAAACCATTAAAGATAAGATCAGATCAACTTTATTGATCCCACACTGTTACAGATCCAGATACAACACAATAAATAATAAAATAAATATAAAATAAAAATAAA